ATGCCCAAACTATGCAACGCAATTCTGGCCCTTCAATATGCAGAATTCTGCGCACTTGTACCATCTGAGCATGTAAAATCCTACTGAAGCGTGTCTTTTGCCAGCTCCTGTCACAGGGTCGCAGCCCCTGAATATGCACAATCCTTCCACTGCCCTTAAGGTTATGGCCCATGAAAACTGTTTTATGTTGGGTCGTTTTTCAGGAAAAAACGACCTGGCATAAAGCCTCTTTCAGACTTCCTTAAACACGTTTCGCATTGAAATTCTCAGTAGTTTTGTGCCTTGGCTGCATTTGCCCCTCTCGCCCACTCGGCGAGATGAGGGGGCGAAGCGTTTTAAAAAAGCCTTAACGCGGCAGAGAAATCTCTTGTCACGTCTTGTTGCAGCTGTTTAACTCGTACGTCCTTTCCCGCCGTAGAGGTCCCGGCAGAGGTAATGGCCGCGCCTTACCTTGCACAAGGCTGCAGGCACCTCAAGCAGGATAGTGGCTAGCCCTCGCGGGCTGCAGAAGCCACATAGAACCGAATAAGCAATTAAAAAGAGCAGAAATCAACATGTGGCCGGGGAGGAAAATCCGGACGTGGAAGGTGTTGGGTGCTGGCAGCTTTGGCTCCGCGAATGTTGTCAAGTCGCGGGAGCAGGAGGGTTTTACGGCTTCACCAGATCACTTATATGGGTGACATTGAGTGGAACGTTGCCACTGCTGAGAACCTAATTGGCCGCTGTTTGGGCAGTTCTTGATATGGATGAACCAGCAAGCGGATCAGTCCTCACGGTTCACGGCAGAAGTCCGGCTTCGGATGGTTGGCTGAAAGCGGATGCATGAACCCTACCAGCAGGAAGGCATGCCATAACTCCAGTAATCGTGTACAAATGCGACAGAGCGAAACCCAAAGAAAGGCACAATCTAGGCTCAGCCGAACAGCGGGACGAGGAGTAGGAACAAAAACAAACGCTGGAGAAAGAAAGGGGCGACCGACCGCCGGGACTCGAGTCGAGATCCTGTACTGAGGGTGGCAGGCAAGGTGCAGTCAGCGTGTGGGAACCGATGCGGATGCAAAAGGAAAGGGTGTGCTTGGTGATCCTGTGAGACCGGAACGTATCAATGAAGCCCATCGATGCCATGGGTTGGAGTGTGACATAAGAATGTGTGGACGTCCTTGCTCATGCTGCTTAGGAGTACAACATGCAGAAGTCGCAAGCGGATCTCTTCTTCCGCTACAGAGCCCTAGCTTGATTGCGTTAGGCTGGCATTTAACTAAAGAGCCCAAGCCAATGTTGTGATTGTTTGAGTTTGTTCTAATGGCGAAACAAGGTACTAGCCTCCACTGGTCTCTGACGCAGTTCACTCCGGCCTCTATGGATGCTCAGCCCTCAGGTCAAGACAGCCACTTGTGCAATCAACGAGTGTCTCCAACAGCAGGTTCATGGCGGCCATGCTTTCAGGTCCACCCCCAGAATGTCGCGGAGCGCTGCTTTGCCATTATGGCAGCTAAGCTGCAAAGCCGTCGTTCAATGCTTTGGTGCGGATGTGCTACTTCTGCTCAAAGGTTTTGATTGCCGGCCTGGTTCTCTTCTCATCTTTCATCAGCTCCATCACGGTCCGCAGCTCTGGAAAAAACCTTTCAACGTGCAAGATTTCAGACCATCATAGTGACAGGGGTCCATGTCGCAGCTACGCAACATGCAAGCCGACAAATCCAAGCAGTCCGCAACTTAAAAGGGAGCACACTTTGTTGCATGATGCGCGGACCTTTATGCTTCCCCACAGGTTTTGGCTGCTCCGGCGCTACCTCAAGCAACAGAAGGTTCCCATGGACTTGTGCTTCCGAGCAGCCAGGCTGCAGCAGGCTGCACGTAGAAAAAGTCCTGATATGTGATTGGTGGCAGTGAGAGCTTCAAGCGGCCTGGAGTCATGAAGTGTTTTATTGTTGGAAAATTCGGACGACCCGTTCTTCGTGACTTGTTTTTTACCTCCAGGTACTCCGCTACATCGAGTATGCCGGATTCCTGGTACAGTCTAGGCTGCCATCGGGTTGGCCTGCAGATTGCGGGTCTGGATGCAGAGTCTGGTCCAAGTTTTGGATTCTTCCAATGGGTCACACCGTGATCAGTCTGTTCGCAAAGGCCACCAGCACTTCTCATGATCGTGTTCCGGAGGGGAGACTTGTCAGCACTGCCACACGCTGTGCTAGGAAGGTCTTTGCTTGGGCGTGTTCTCCTGCAGCTGAGATGGCCAAACAGTTCCTACATGTCAAGCGCACCACTCGAAGAGTGCCAAAAATCCCCAGGCGAATCACGATCCTGAGCGCCCTCACCGAGCAGCTCAGGAACGCTTTGGCTGGATCAACACGCTATAGCCTGTAGCCTGCGCTTACAAGAAATCTGGCAAGTATCCTGGAAAGGAACGAGCTGACCTTCTACACCCACTACCGCAATCTCAAGAAGCACCCTGTGCCCTTCGGCTCAAGCTGACAGCCAGTGCTCCTGCAGTGCCAGAAAACTCTAAGCAAGCGCAGTCTGTTCTGTGTAGCAGTCTGTCAGGTTCCATCAGGTCGCAGGGATGAACGAGGCAAGGGACCATTTCCTACAATGTTCCCAACAAGGCTTGTGTGCAATGTTCAGGCCATTCTCAACCGCGTCATGGCTGCATGGACAGCTGGTTCGCAGGGTGTTGACGCATGTGACGTACATCACTTCGTCTGGGGCAGTGAACCTGGCAAGTGTTCCTAAGGTATGAGTGGGCAGACCTTGAGTTCCGTGGACCTGGCCGCTGGCGATCCATTGTTTAGTCGGGACCACAGCCCTCTTGTGTGGCCGCATTACCTCGGAGCAGTCAAAAGCAAAAGTGCATGAGTTGTAGCCATGCAGGTCTTGTTGATGCCTCCAGACACATGTTCTTCATCGAGACCGGTGGCATTCGCTACACCGTGCATGAAGCTTCCAAAAAGGAGGCCTCAAAGCGAAGGCGGGAAGGTGCCTAGTTGAATACGACATCTGTGCCGAGCCCGTGCAAAAAAAAGTCTGACCAGGATGACAGAGATTTTATCTGATGGAGACTGTGACCCCAGTCTGTCAACAGCGGCTCGACTTATGCAGTTAACCGTTTGGTGTCGCTCCGGAGCCTCCTCCTCATCCTCCAGTCAGCCGGGCTTCGCAAGTACCAGCTCTTAGTCTTTGGGGCCCGGATGGAGAACCCCGTTCGCCTGACCTCCAAAGGCTTCAAGGCCACACATCACTGTCCCCTTCTCTGCTGTCGGACTCAGGTGTTGGGCAAGGCTGGAGGGCAGCCTTGCGCAAGGGCTGATTGAAGATGCTTCTGTAGTGGGTCAAAGACTTAAAGACCATCTTTGAGGAATGTTCTCTGTGCTAGTTGAGTGTAGAGCGAAGAGCAATAGGAACCTTGAGGTTCAGCCAGAAGGCTTGGTCTTGTGGCTATAAGCTTCCACGTGGGACAACAGGACTTGCCAAATCAAATGCGGTGCAAGGGGGCTCGAGAAGAAAACTGTTGCTCTCGGTGGAGCAGTGTATTCGTGCAACAGGTTGCCTCTCCAACCCTAACCCTAAACCCCAGACCCTAGACCCTAAACGTGACTAAGCTTGTACGCCAGGCAGACTACCTGTGCGAAGTAGCTCTGTGGAGCTCCTTTCAACACATTGGAGTCGCCCAGGCGATTGGTATTCACCTCGCTCGGTAGTCTTCGTGAACAGCTTTGCTTTGTTAATTATAGTAATAATAGTAGTAATAATAGTAATAGCAGAATAATAGTAGTAATAGTAAGAATAGTAAGCATAGTAATGCTTAGAAATCGTTGTAATAGTAGTTATAATTATAGCATCTGACTTTCCTTGCGCAGACAGGCCATAGCGGAGGCCAGCGTCATTCGTATTGAGATCCTCCCGTTCTGCGAGTTAGTGCAGAAGGCTCGCTGTGCATTTTTACAAGTGTTCTGAGGGAGTCAGAAATGCATTACCTTTTTGGACAAATTGCCTGCTCGGCAATCAGCTTCCTTTTCACCTTTCGTGTTTGACTCCTTGCACTTGATCTTCTTGTTGCCAAATTTCGGGCGGCTGACGATGCACACGCCGCAAAAAGCAAAAGGCAAGGATGTAGATACCAATTTGGACATTGGATCCAGTATTGTTATCTCGCCGATCTGCCACCATCCCTTGCCGCTACTTGCAGGACTCGGAGCTGCGAGAGCTGCTGACGCTTTATGCGCACCGGCCCCGCGGCAGATTCGTTCGGGGCTGTGAGTTAAGGATGGATGAGGAAGGCGAAAAGACGTGCGTAGATATGGGACCCAAAAAGGGTGAATGCTTGCGTACAGGAGGGATCTTTTTTTATGGGTTGTTCCGGCCTTGTCGCAAACACACACGGAAGCTGCCGCCCCAACAGCACAAAATCTCTTCCCCCGCCCCCGCTGCGACCTCCAACCCCTCCGCTGCTGTTATGTCCAGCGCTCTACTTTGGGAAAACTCCAGGCAATGCCTTGCAAATAATGAGATTCATGGCAAGCTAGCGCCGTCAGAAAAATTGCAATTAGAACATGTTCGCATCCTCGTATATTTATGTTGTGCAAGTGGTGGGGGCTGCTAGCGCCGTCAGAAAAATTGCAATTAGAACATGTTCGCATCCTCGTATATTTATGTTGTGCAAGTGGTGGGGGCTGCACCCCCCCCCCCACCCCGTGTGCTGTTTTTCAAAAGCAGGTGCAATGCCTGGCCAGTCTTATCAAAATCCAGCCTTGTTCTCATCGTCTTGTAGGCCTTGCAATTATCGGTCAGTACAATGATTATTGACGTTGCTTCCCGTACTCTTACGTACTCTTTTGCGTCATTTGTCCTGTCATGTATCTGTGAATCCTACATGCTCTTGTAAACATTACCACCACCAGCAAGTGGTCAGTGGGGCACCCCCACATACGGCGTGGAGTAGGCAGATGGTACGCTATTGATGGCGTTGACCATACCGCAACCTGAGTCGTTCCTCACGGGTTCAGAGACTGAAGCCCCTAAATACGTCATGCAGTTGAACTAAACCAAAACTGAAGTCTTGTCCTCCCCTGAAAATCATCCACCCACCCGCTTCAATTTAGGTGCTGTTGTAGAATCGGTGGGGCAATCTAAGTATCATAAGTATCTTAGGTGCAATAGTTTCGTGGAACCAGCCCTCTGAAACTGCTTGTCAACATGGCTTAGGAGTAGCCAGGCGTTGTTTACAAAGATGCGCGGCCTAATATGGAATTGAAACATGGCGAGAGAACGCAAGGTCAATTTTTCAGGTCTACCTTTTCTTCGTGTCGAACATATTGCCTAGAAGCAGGCACGCTCACCGACAAACAATGCAAAAGATTGACTGGCGATTTAGGGATTTCTCAGACGGGCCACTGGCATCAAGGCCTCTTCTCACTCTAGAGTTCCAATACTGATGATGGGACACGGGCCTTCAAACCACAAAGCCCACCGGAGTCCCTTGGGGTGTTCCAACACAAAATGTTGCATGAGGTTTCTGCTCAACTTGAACATAGTCCAGTTTACAATGTGGCGTTGTGCGAAGGAAGCCTGCCACCCGATTGAAGCGGAACATGGTGCTTTCAGCGAACTCAATGGCCCTTTCAGCGGACTGATGCGGGCATTCACTGAACTGCTAAGCTGACCTGGCTTGACCTAGCCTAGGCCTACGCGAGCCTGACCTCACACCCTCACCCTACGGAATTTAACCGGATCCTGATACAGATGAGATATTTGGTAGGATTAGGTCAGATTCCGCTGGGCGAGGTCAATTTCGCGTAAGCTAGATTAGGTTAGGCTAGGTCAGGTCAGCTTCGATTACGTTGGGTAGGGTTGATTCAAAAAAGGTTGGTCAAACCTAAAAATAACCTCCACTGGCTAGGGGTCGGACTTTTTTTGGGGGGCTGTTGGGGCAACGGTTTTTTGTTTTGCTGGAACCTTCTAAGCTTAAGCGCAAAAAAGCACGCCCCAGTTCCAACAGCAAACCACATGCACCGCCCAAACAAAATAGACAACGCGCCCCCGCCTGAGAAACAAACGAGCCTAAACAACCGCAGAAACAACCGCCATACTGGATTCAGGAGATAAGGATGAGGGAAGGCTTGCAATTGTTTGCGCTCCTGAGCCTGATCCTGATGTCGTGTTTGCAATACCTCCTCCGGGTAACTGTTTCTTCAGTAGTTCCGTGCTAACAGCAGCCCTGATTCTTTGTCATTTCTCTTACAAACCGAATGCAGGCCTATGGGGCAACATGCAGTTGTCTCAGGTTTGTCGAGTACATGAACACGAACGGCATCGAGTGGGTAGAGGTCAGTTTCAAGGCCGCACGTACTGTTGATCAACAGTATCCTTGAGTGAATGCAGCACGTGATACACTAACACGACATCATGTGATCAGCAAAATTGAAAGCAACATCTTTCAACCGAGCATTGTCCAACTCCAGCATACACACTCTGCAATGGTTTCGATCCTCAGCTATGCTTAAGTTGTTTATGCACGCCTCGACTTTTACAGTCAAGAATGCGGCAGGGTGCCAAGAACTTCACCGATGAATTCTTCCAGGCACAGTGAGGGCGCAGCCGGCTTCTCAGCCGTGTCCTGCAGTGGAGGGAGAAAATCTTGCACCACTTCGGAGTGAGGCGTACTTGAACTTCCAGACCAGGGTAGGTACTATGAAAGGTGGTGCAAGATTTCCCCCATCCGCAGTCGCAAAAGTGCTTTTGCAAGCGCAGCTCGCTTCAGGACGACAGCAAAGGCATTGATGCAGCGGCACCAGCCTTGTCCTATTAGTCCGCTATGCCATGGGTCAAAGGTTTTACGCGACACGCTGTGTTGCCATCGCTGGACCCGAATTTCAGGTAGTCTCGGACATGCAAGCTTCAAGAACAGCTGCCAAATAGACGTTCAAAAAGACCTTCTTCTAGCAGACCCGAGACAACCTTCGCTGTACTGTTGGCTTCCTCGTAGCAGTGCCGCTATGCAGATGGCAAAGAAGCACAGTTTCAAGGGAAGACTGCAGCTGTACTGGTTTCCACGAGTTCCTGGGCGCTGCTGCATGGAGTTTCACAAACTCACCAGCCAAGCTGCTGAGCTAAGCGACGAAGAGGTTAATTTATGGGCTACCGGAAAAGCAATCAAGACATCTAAGACTCAATGTTGAGCAATATCTTTAAAGTCTGATGGCCCGCTGAGGCCACCGCTGGGCATGTTCCGCCAAGCTGTGGCCTGTACCACTATGCGGTTTCCAAGGTTCCACTGCATTGCACGGCTGACTAATTCAGTGGCTTGCCTTAAAGGGCAGCACGTACACACCCGCCAGAAAGGGGACAGACATGTCCCAGGCATCCCATACCTTCGAGCAGAGGGCATAAATCTGACTGAGCAAGCAGTGACAAAGATTGGCCAGCCCTGGGTGTATTCTGGGTGTATTCACTCAAGCCATGTCTTGGACACATCATGACACGCCAGCCTTCGGCAACAACAACTCTACCTGAGATGGTTTTGTACCTCGTGAGTCATGAGCCCCGCAGGCATCCGGTGAATGCAGCCGCGGTCTAAGAGCAATGGTGCTGATGTAAACGTATCATAGTTAGTTCGCTAGCAGCTTCCTGAAGCGCGTGAGCAGGGCTCGCGGAAGAGCCATCACTCAGTCGACTTTCTGAGTATGAGATCCTATAATGTGCTTTGGCTAAGCTACCTTGCTCGGAAGGCGGATCTCCTTTGGCATGCAAGTCGCCATGCAGACCTTGTGTGTTCAAGCAAGTTGTTGCTTGAACGCCCTTAGGAGGATGGTTCGCCTTTTGGCGACCGTCCTGGGCGTCACCCACGCCCTTACTGCTGGACACTTGGAAGCTGGAATCTTCAACTTGTTGTCATGGATGTAAGCTCCACTCTGCTGAAGCCAGTTAGGTAGAGAAAGATGTGGCCTCTAGCGGAGTTCCAACAGCAATGATGCTGCCAGCGACTGAGAGCGTGTTGAAGCAATGAAGTGATGGAGCCCTTAAGCTCCATCACTTTTTGAATGCAGAAGTCTTAGTGCCGGGACGTGGATGGTACATGTCTCCTGACCAGATGTGTCAGAGGCCTCCTCGTGGTGGAGTCTTTTGCCGTGGAAATGGCTGTCCGTACAGCGAGGTTGGCCCCGCACTCAGATCTTCTTGATGGGAGCACCGGAGCAGCATCAATGTTTTTTGACCGTGTGGTTTGAAAAGGTGTTGTTGGCGGACAGAACATCATGGGCCACACCCAGACCGAGGAGGTGCAAACGGCAATGCAAGCAGTTCATCAGCATGATTGTTTGCAATGCTACTGCAGCTTGCGTGATTCATGGTTTCGATATGGACAAGCGGAAGCACGTGTTGTGTCAGGGGGTGGAGCAGCAAGCAAAGGCAGCATTGGCCATTGGCATGGACCCGAGTGCGCTTGTGCTATCTCAGAAGCTTGTATGTAGATGTTGCGGGTCAACATAATCCAGCAGCCACACGATGTGCTTGTTTGCCAAATAACGCAGCACATGCGACCAACAGAGCTTTGAAATCTCTGTCGTTTGCACATCGTAGAAGCCATCTGCATCCCCAAGTTCCAGCTTTCAACACTTTCATGCCTGCAGGACGCGCTCCTTGCTAGAAAGGAGTTTTGCCGAGGCGAGCTTTCAGGGTTTTTCCGCAGACGCAGCTGTTGGCCTGCACACGGATTTCAGCTGGCTTCGGGGAAGTTGTGCTCATACTTGGCAACTTGCCTTGAGGTTCTCCATTATAGTTTGCTGTGCATGCTGCCGGGATCGTGCATGAATACGGCTGGGCAGCGGTCCATGTTGCCCTTCCTAACAGCATGTCGACTTCAAGCCAGAGACATATGTGTCAGTGTGCTGAGGCGCACCTTGCGAAATACCTCGCGAAATGATCTAGCCAGAGAGCATGTGTCACTTAGGAAGCAAGTGGACATAATCAGAAAGGCATGAAGAGCTGAGCAGAGCGAACATTGTTACCAGTAGATGACCCGTGAAGACAGCGAGCGTATCCTCGCAGTGGAAGGCATGAGCTGCGTGGACGGCATGGGCAAGCCCCTAGATCGCACGAAGGCACCTGGCTTGCTGTTGGATTTCATATACACGTCCCTTTGTGCAAACATGATGCATACAGCATGTCCTGTGAATTCCATGTTGCAAGAACTCTTTTGCTGCCAGCATGGAGCTCTTCAAAACTTAGCAAGAAACAAGAGATGGGTTCTGGGCTTGTGGTCTGTTTGAATTGTAATTGTTATAGTAATTAAGACTACTAGGAGTAGTGATGATGTTGTGCCCGATGAAGGCTGGATGCCGTTTGCTCGTCAGGGAATCTTTGCCCAGCAAAGCCTAAAGCGATGTAACGTGTGTTCTTGAAACAGGCTGCCTTTGCAGCGCAGTGCAGCCACTTCTTTGCGGGCGGCCTAGAAGGTAGGGCATCCTTCCCATCTCGCTGCTATCCAGCTGCTCTTGCCTTTCCCGTCTTCACAGAACTTGAATATTCCAGCACAGCGTGCGCAGAATCTGGCAGGCCACGACGAATACCGCACAGTCAAACAAGCCTCGAGCCACAGATGACGTTTGAAACACGAGTTCGTTGTCTTTCACCACTTGTACTGCGGAACGCGGAACCCCTGTTTCTGTGCAGCAGTGTGCCAAGTGGCATAGCACTAAGGTCTACGACAGCTTCGGGAGCATCTGTGGGCCCAGGCTTGGTATGCGACATGTTTGGGGCACAAGCTGAAAACCCGCACGCGGGGTATTCTTCGGCTGACGGGCAAAGCATTGTTGCGTCGACCTTTGGCCTCGGCTGACCTGCCCTTTGACGGTCCTGTATCTTGACAGAATTGACAGGGTGGGCAATGCAGAAATGCCACTCTGTCGGGCCTATGGTGATGTCTTTGCAGCTGCGCTTGCGCCGCAAATGGATGCCATCACGGCCTTCCTCTCAAGTTGGCCCTCATAACAGTAGCAATGCAGAGAGCGAGTCCCGAGGTGGGAAGCGCAGATGCCATTTGCAACATTATGTTTGACTTCCTTCAGGAGCTGAAGCAGGCATGCCTGGTCGCCATGCAATGCTCGAGCCCCTGCAAGCGCCTTCGAATTTCCTTGAGGCGCAAGTCGACCTGCAGCTTTTCGAGGCCACTTTTTTTTTTGGGCTCACCACTTCGAGAAGCGGTTTCTGCGTTTCCTTGATAAGCAGCGGAAACGTCCCAGTAACTTCGCCTACGGCAGTCTAAACTTACTTAAAGCATTTGAATCAAAATCAGCTCTCTTGCGTGTGTTTCAGGGCTCGATGGACCACCCAGACGCGGCAGGGCCCGAGTCTGAACGCGGGCGCAGGTGGGTTAGGATGCCTGGGCGGCTAGATTGTTGTGCCGACATCACAAAGCCCTCGAGGTGGTCCAAATTTGTTGAAATGAGCACGCCCAAGCCGCTCAACGAGACGCACGGAAATTTACTTGCTGGCCTGCAGGCACCAAGAAAAGCGCATGTTGTGGCAAGTTTCTACCCGACCTGCCCTGCAGGTTGGAAAAGACCAGGACTTTTCTGTATTTTTAGTCTTAGTGTATGAGTTTGCCAATGGAGGCACTGTTTCTATTTGCAGGAGGTCAACAAGTATGAAATCACCATGCCGTCATGGGACGGGGCTGCGAGCTGAGGATGAGCGTGCTGGAACGACCCCTGGCAGCTACCATCTTAAACTACAGAGCTAACATTTGTGGCTTTGAGGCTTTAAAGGCTACCACGGTACCCGGTGCTCTTTTCGATCACTGCGAAGCAGAAATGAAAGAGATCATGCTGGATGCGCGCAGGGCTTGGCATGGGCGGGAACAAGATCCTCGCCAAGTTCCTTTTTGGGGTTTCTTGCATGGGGTCTCTGGACACAGCTTGAGGCCACAAACATCCGGGCGCGTGGCAAAGATGGCCGTGGATTGGCCAACCTGCCGTGTCGTCTGCTGCCTTTTCGCACGCATGCGCAGATGCACATCTGTCCTTGCTGCCTCCGCGCATATCGCAAAATCAAGGGCAAGGGCCTGGAAGGATGGAGAAAGCCTTGGTGGTTTAGGCACGCTGCCAGGTGCAACTTTCAGCAGCTTCGTGGTGGAGGCCAACTCTCAGAGTTTTGCTCAACATGTGGAAGCACGAGACCTGCTGATTTCAGCAATTCTGGTCTTGTTCGGGCATTTGGTGGATCCGCTTGTGTCGCCTGCAGTGCTTCGGCTTAGTCTTTCTGCACTTTATTTTTGTGTCTACGATCCAAGGAGCTGTTGCCATCACACTGCAGTGTGAAGTGCTAGGATTGAATGAGCAGCCAGCTGAGCCATGGACCAACCCGAAGCGCAGTTTCACAACGAGGCGTTCTTCGGGTTTATGCTTCTATTCCATCGGGTAGCAGTGAACTATTCCTCTAGGAGTCTCTCGAACTTGACCCAGGTAGGGTTGTGGCCAAACTCGCTCCAGGAAACTCAGAGAGTTTGCCGAGACAACGTGTGCGCAACGGGTCATGCCAGCGTTGCCTGCTGCTGTCGGAATGCTTGCTCTAGAAGTTGGATGCATGTTCAACATGCTGATGCATTACGCATCAGCTGTGCCTCTCAGAAGCACGCCTCACAGCACCAGGCAGCAGTACTTGGTTGTGGTAATGGGGCTCATGAGGAAGTCATCAAGACAGGGTGTCTTTTGCTCCGCTGCTTCTGCGGCATGAGTCTGGTGACCCATGCCCTTGTCTGAGCCGTGTAGGTGAAGTTGCTGCCTACTCATTGTGAGCAGAGAGGGGAGGTGCGATTACGTGAGCTTGATTAAAACGCAAAGAATGCTGAACGTTCTGGAGAGGGAAGCAGAGAACAGGTCACACAAGCAAGTCGGAGACGCAGCTGTTAAGCCAGGGGTGCCTCTTTGAAGGGTTTCTTGTCTTGTTGCGCGTATCTCTGGCGAAGCGCGCTCCGAACAGGTCAACCGCCGCTTCTGGCAAGAGCGAACAGTGATAGAACAAAAAAAGTATATAGAGAGAAAATGACAACACCAAGGTCACAGTAAAATGATATAATACTTCAACACAAGAAGCCTCCCCCGGCCCTGTCTCGACAGAAGCAATGGGTGAAGATTTTGATGCGCGCAACTGTGTCAGAAACCCCGGCAAGGAATATGCAAGCAAGCGTTGGCAGAACTTCTGAACTTGAATGTGTCAAGCGTCCACAAAACAAGGATGCATAGTTCAAGTCTCACATTGCAGTTCTGCTCCAGTCCTTGATTTGAGATTTGATCCCAGGCAGTTTCCTGGTATTTGTTTCTCGCTTGTGCAGGACGATGGAAGCATGGCGTGTGAGACAAATCCCGCCATTGATGAGGCAGGTCTTGCCTGGCAGTCCTACAGCAGCACCTGGTTGCTGACACACATGCTTCCGGTGTTCCCACTGCCCGCAGCTATTCCTTGCTCAAGGTCTGTTGCCAGAAAGATAAGGTGGGTTGCCAGAAAGATAATGTTGACGATAGTGAGCCCTTTTGAACTCCGGACTGCACCCAGACAACTGTTGCCCCTGCTGTCTACTTGAGTCAATCAAGCATCATGACTCGGCAGAAAGTTCAAGCAGCACACAGACCAAGCAATTTCATCCAGGGTGGTTCATTATCAGCCCCTACACGAGATTACATTACCTCCTTACATGGCCTTGATTTGAGCATGGCATGGCCATCCGTAGGGCAAATCTGTCTAGCAGGCTTTGTGGCTTTCGGCTTGCACCTTCTCACCGTAATCTCCTGAAGAACACTGATATCAACGGCCTTGGCGGGTGAGCTGGCGCTGGGCTAGCCGGGCCCGATGGTGTTAATTGAATGTGCAAGTGTTTAGGGTGTCCCTCTTAAGCCCGACCTAGTTTTCAGGGGGGGCTTTTGCAGAGAAAGCCTTAGCTCCAGGAATCAGAGTAGACTGTCCTAGATGGTCTCTCCATGTTCCTTATAGTTGGCCGGGGATCTTGCAGGCCTCGCATCCCAAGGATGGAAAGGTGCTGCTGACCTGGATCCGAAGATGTGTGACTGACAGCCGCGTGCACAAAACCGCGATGCCAGTTTTGCGTGACTTTGTCAGTTCTTAAAGCAGTTTGTGTACGGCAGGTGATCTCATTGCTGCAGCATCAGCTCGTGCTCATAACCAAGCAGCATGAGAAAACTATCGGCCGACTATCCGCTCACGAGGAGCTGTTGAAGCAGGTGTTGTACCATTGCTCCAGCTTAGATGTGGAGCTGGGGTCTATGATGGAGGTGATCGAATCCCAATCCGAGAGTGCAGAGTTCCCCTCGCATCTCAACGAAGAGGATGTTGCCAGGTCGCGATTGGCCTCTCCACCGCTGGGAAGTGCGGATGGCAGCTCGTCTCCTACGCCATCGATATTCAATTCGTATACCCAGCATGATTTGGACTTGAGACAGGGTGCACAGAAAGTGCATAGCCGAATGTCTGTCTTTCAGACAGAGAGGTCAGTGCCGCAACTGCCACCCCTCATGCAGCGCGTAGTCGGTCATCCGGGCTTTGACATTTTCTTTGGGATGGTGGTGGTGACGAACTCCATCTTTCTAGGTATTGATGTGCAGATGAGGATTGGGGAACCTGTCACTCCACCTCCCATGAAGGCAGCCTGCTTAGAAGTACAGAAAAGCGTTGTCAGTTGTTGGACATGAAGCCAGGCAGCTAAGCTACATTAGCTAGATCCGCGTCAGTTGCATGCACCTCGAAGGTGATCCAGTACGTGTACACCTTCCTGTTTGTGGCTGAGCTGATCATGCGAGTGTCAGCTGCAGGCTGTGGTTTTTTCATATCCGAAGACTGGTGGTGGGCCCTTGTGGATGTGATCATCGTGGCCGGGGCCCTCCTGGATCTTGCGTTGGACATTGTGGAAAGCTTGACTTCTGACGGGGCGAGCATGGTGAGCGGCATTGACGGTGTCTCCAGCCTAAAGGCTCGGAGCGACCCCTGCACTTCGTGCTGATAGCTATCAGCTAGGACTTGCAAGAACTAAATGCGCTAAATGTGATTAAACGATTCTTTGCCAGACATCATGGCTACAGAATGCATTGAACTGCATCACTCCCGCAGTGCAACACTTCACAGAGTGCTCAGGCGAAGGGCAACAGCCGCACAATTTTGATACGGTAGCATGTTGTCGCGGCGGGGTTGTCGCAGTTTGGTGAGCCCATGGAAGTTTTGTAGACTTTCCGAAAAAACTGTGTGAGGACAACTTTTGACAAAGTTGTGACATGACACTTGGGAACACTTCCATGCGTGTGGCCAAAGTATTTTTTTTGCAAGAACGAAGCTTGAACCTGAATCTGAAGGCCTTCCGCATCATACGGATCACCCGCGTCCTCAAGACAATGTGGCATTCTTGGCAATCGCTTTGAACCCTTTTGGTTGACACACTACTGCTCTAGTGAGAAAGCTCAAACCGCAGTATTGGCTAGGTCCAAGAGCAGTTAAGGACAGTTCAAGTTGTGCGCCTATTCCGTTTCGTCATGGCATTACGGACCCTGGTAACCTCGATCTTTCACACGCTGAAGGCTTTATTTTGGGCTTTGATACTCTTGTTCCTGATTGTGTACGTTTTCTCTGTGATCTTCACTTCGGCTGTGAACGAAGCTTTGTATGATCCGAATTTCTACCCGCGCCTTCCAGAGCGAGACGCTCAAGCGGAGCGGTATTTCAGCAACCTCTACGACACAATGCTGAGCTTGTTTATGTGCATTGCTGGCGGTGTGAGTTGGGAAGAGGTCATTGCACCCTTGAGGTATGTGTCGGAGGTGTGGGGCATTGCATATCTTGTGTTCTTCTCTTTCACATACTTTGCTGTCTTAAATGTCGTTACTGCTGTTTTCTGTACAACAGCCTTGGAGTCTGCACAGAATGACCACGCAACTGTCGTGCAGTCTATGCTGGACAACAAGGAAGCTCATTTGGACAAGCTTCGCGCTGTTTTCAGCTCCTTAGGGGCAAGTGACACGGGCGCGATAACATTTACCATGTTTGAGGAGAAGATCAATACGCCGGAGGTGAAGGGCTACTTGGAGACTCTTGGTTTGGATGTGTGGGATGCATGGAGCTTTTTTAAGCTCCTGGACACAGACGGAGGCGGAGCAATTGAAATCGAAGAGTTTTTCATGGGGTGCCTTCGCTTTCGCGGGCAAGCTACTGCCATGGACGTGGGAAAGATCATTCAGGATCAGACTTGGCTGATTACCAACCAAGGCAAATTCCAAACATATGTGGAGGGCGAGCTAAAGATTTTGAGAGATGGCCTGTCATCTCTCTTGGAGCAGATGACTAATTCGAGAGGCTTCCGTTCCTTGTCGAAGAAGACCACGATGGTCCAAAGCGGTCGCTGGAAGGAGTTGTAACGGCGTGAAATTGCGCAACAAAGTGAGCTATTGTTTTGAAAGATGACTTACCGTGTGCCCGGCCACAATTCTTTTTGAAAGGGCAAGGTGGGTGTCATTCAGACACTGTCGTATTTGTGCGCATGGATTGCGCGTGGCATGTAGCCAGCAAAGCTGGCAACCACCCTTCGCGCAGTCTGGGAAAGGACGTGGATGCAGTTCATTTGTGCTGTAGCTTCAGAAGTCGTTGCTTTTGAAGCTTCAGATTTCAGCTCTGCCAGGCCCAAGCTCCCAAGGAGCTGGATTTTTTAGAAGTAGACAGTAGACTCGAGCATCCAGGAAACCTTCATGTTTTCATTTAGCCTTTGATGGCTCAGCCTGTTCAAGTTGGAGGACTGTAGGACGAAAGCATGGCCGAAGACTTGCGCAACATGGCGACTGATTCTGCAGTGGCTAGCAGCCAGGCAGCTGCACAAGCAGCCCTTGCGTGCTTGACTGTGTAAGTGATGCTTGACTCCTGGAGCAGGAGACGCCTTCTCCAAGTTCTGTTCCTGCTTGTATGTCCTTGTGTTGTGCCCCAGGCATTTGCGCCTAGTATTACGCAGTTTGGGTCCTTGTCGAGCATGGTGGGGTGTCTGAAGTTTGTCCAGGGCGTAGTTGTGATGGGAGGTGCTTTCAAGCAATCATCCTCCCAAATCGGACATGTTATACAGTTATCGCATACAGTGGCTTGGTACTTGGGT